TCTACATATTGTTCCCTTCAGGAACTAAGGACACCAGTGGATAAGGATTTTTCTGAAATAAATCAAAAGAGCTTGTCGGATGACTTTTCTCACGAGGAAGTTCGCTCTTCTGAAATTCCGCACTCATGTCCACTACTTTCTAGAAATAAAACTAACACACAGCTCTATGAAGTGTTGCACACTGCCATGGTTACACAGAGTGCAAAGATGTCATCTGATGCATCTCGTGCATCTGCATGTTCGTATAAGATGCCAATTAGACTGTCTGAAGATAAATTTGCAGAAGAGAGCAGAGTCAGGACAGCAAATGGAAGAGTAGTTGAAACTTCAAATGCATTGGATCAAGAAAAAGTGGAGCTGATGCCTAGAAAAGTCAGACATCCTTCACCAAACCGCTGGTTTAGCTTCAGTTTGAGTCGAATCAGCAGGAGTTTCAGCTTCAAGGAGACTTCAGCTGTCCCACAGTTCAGCTCCACATACATTTCCATAAATTCTGGTCCCCTGATATCTGAAGTTTCTGCTTGTTTAAATAATTCAAACAGAAAGAAGGCAGGTAGTCATAACAGAGCTAGATCCAGCCCATTGAGAAGGATGCTAGATCCTCTGCTGAAGTCCTGGAGCTCCAGAATACTTCAGTCAGCTGAAACTGGCTCATCAAATGAAAGCTTGAATTTCTTCAACTTGAAGCAATTTGATGCCAAAGAACTGCTCAAGGATGGCAAGCATGGGCCATCGAGAATAAAAGCTCTCCTGCAGCTTACTATACGGAATGGAGTTCCTTTGTTCAGATTTGTGATTGAGAACAATAGCAACATTCTGGAAGCCTCCATGAACAAGTTATCATCATCTCAAGAGAATGGTTCAGGCTGCAACTATACGTTCTATGCCATAGATGAAATCAAGAAAAAGAGTGGCAGCTGGATAAATCAAGGTAGTAAGGAGAAGAGCTGTGGCTATGTGTACAATTTGATTGGCCACATGAAGGTTAATTGCTCTTCTATCTTTGATTTGACTGGAACAGACTCCATTTGCCAGATTAAGGTGAAAGAGTCTGTTTTGTTTGGTGTCGACCAAAGTCAGGCGGATCAGGCATTGCCAAAGGTCATGGCAAATAGAGAGATTGCGGCTGTTGTGGTCAAAATGCCTAGTGAAATCTCAAGCCTCGACCTGCAGCTGACTGATCAAAATGAAAATTTGAAGCACGAGGGCTCCTCACAGTACCTTCCAGAAAGTCAATGCTCCGGTAACCTGGGAGAAACCGAACACTCTATTAGTGCAACTGTCATACTTCCCGGTGGTAATCATAGCATGCCAAACGAAGGAGTACCTTCACCATTGCTACATAGGTGGAGATCTGGTGGATCATGCGACTGTGGTGGTTGGGATGTTGGTTGTAAACTACGTATACTCACCAACAGAAGCCAGTGTAGTAAGATTACAAGGACATCCAAAAGTTGCCTGATGTCAGATTGTTTTGAACTTTTTACCCAGGTACTTTTTTTGTGTTTTAGCTGAGAATTTATCTTCGCTCTTTGGATGTCATTTATATTGGCGTTTTCTTGTTTTAGCTGAGAATTTATCTTCGCTCTTTGGATGTCATTTACATTGGCGTTTTCTTATTTTGTATATCCACCCATGCAGGGAGCAATCCAACAGGACCATCCTATCTTCAGTTTGGCACAAGTGGAAAAGGGGATGTATTCGACTGAATTCAGTTCATCAATTTCTTCATTAGAAGCATTCTTCATTTGTGTCAATGTTATAAGTTGTCGGAAATCATATGATCAAGATGGCGGCAATGCTTCCAGCGAAGAATTTCACCAGGAGCTCAGCAACTCCAGTAATGGATCAAAGAAGATTCACACCATTTCCCCGGGGCAAACAAATGTGAAATACACTCTAAGCCCCCCCGTTTCCCCATTTGAAAGGATGTAGCGGGCTCATTCCAGGAGTCTGTTTGTTGATGGTGTATAGTTGCTAAAGTTCAAATGGAAGAGGAGATATCAGTGTTGGAGAGTTCTTGACCAACCGCTACGGAGTCCATGGACTTAGGCAGCAAAGTTGGTGGAAGATCTCCTAGACAGTTTACTGAAATTATGTGAGACCATCATGATATTCCATCAGCTGTAGTCACCACTAATATCTTCCTTTTGTTTTGTGTGAAGATAACAATGGCATGAAATATAGAGCTCTGACATTCAGAGTACAGAGCTTTTAGAAGGCAAAAATTTACATTATCATCACATAACGACTGCAGACTGCCTCGCACACAAGTTCTTTTGAAACAAGAAAGGTAGTGGCCTTCAGGCACACCTTGGTCCTTTGCTCCTCCACGGGCTACTTGAAAATGTTTTTTTAACACAAAAAAATTATGCATATACTTTCGACATATTTTCTAGGATAAAGGAAAAATTTTAAATAAAAAATTAATATATATAAATATATTTAACAAAATAAATTAAGAATTATATATGATAATGAGTGTTCAAAAAAGTTAAAGCTGATAAAAAACTATAATATGAAGTTGGGAGACATAAATAGATTAAGATTTTTTATTGATATAGGAAGATCTTTAAAAAAAAAATTCACTTAATTATATGGAAATAAAATTATATTTTAAAAAAATTTATAATTTCAATTCTATTGAAATAAAATAATTTCCTAGGATAAATCCTTATATATATATATAAAATGTGAAAGCAATTAGAACGAATATCAAAAATAAAATTTCAATGATTTGAAATAAAGATAAATAATATATCTCTTTAATTAAAACCCTAACATTTAAAAACAAATGAAACAATATTATTTGAAAATAAATGTCAAATTGAATTATATCTACTGAAATAATATATTAAGTACAATTTTAATTACTTTATTATAATAAATTTTTTCGTTCCTTCTTTTCTTATTAATCTATTTTCCTCAACAAAAAAATATAATTTTTCTGTGCTACATGCTTTATTTGATAAAAACCAAAAGTAACTAGAATAAATTAAAAACAAAATCAGACAATTTAAAACTAAGAATAAAAAGATATCTTTTTAATGAAAACACATTTATCTTTTTACTGAGTTTATTTTTTTGTAATTTTCTTCACCATAATATTTATTTTTAAAAAAAAAGCTTATCATAATATAAAAAAATCAAGTTTAATTAAAAAATAATATTTTGATAATCCTAATGCAAATGTATTATATATATATATATATATAAGAATAATAAATTTTTCACGTGATGCAATGAAGAAATTTTTAGAGTCTATTTTTTTAATTTAGTTATATAATAATAATAATAAATGTGTATTAAAGTCAATGAATAAAATTTAAAAAGAAAACCATAAAAATAAATCATAAAGACTATACAAAAAGAGTGCTAACTATTATTATGGAAAGAACATTATAATTTTATTGAAGAATTAAGTGAAAATATAATGGTATCTAATAGAATAATATCTTGATATATTTTTAATTTATTTGTTTTAATAATATTTAATTGGAAAACATAAAGGTTTTAAGAAAAAGAGGTCAAGCTCCAAGGTGTAAGTGGACCAATATGTGACCCATAATAATAAAATAAAATAAAAGAACTAGATGTGCATGACCTACAATGCAAGGCACACGTGCCTAACCAATGCCCCTTGTTTATTTAAATAAAAAAATAAAGTAAATATATGAATCTAGATTTGATCGTTAAAAGGATGATTGAAAAAGTTAGCTAAGATATTTTTTAATTTAAAAACTTGAAATAAATAAAGAGCATGACCGAAATAAAAATTAATAACTAGAGTAGAAAATGATTCAAAAAAAAATAATTCAAATTACATTATATAAATCCACATTGCTTTGTCTTGGTTTATCATAGTTTTTTTTTCTCACATCATAAGCATTGTTTGGGCACTGTGTTACATAAAAATTTAATTTTTTATTAAAAATAATTTTTTATATATTTTAAATTATTTTAATATATTAACTTTAAAAATAATTTTAAAAAAAAAAATTCTTTCTAATACAATTCAATATAAAAAATACCTTAAAAAAATATCCACAACCACGTTTATAAACAATCACTAGTTTTCTTAACAATCACTAGTTTTCTTAGCAGTGTATAGCAATGTAATCTTCTGATCTGGTAAATTAAATTATAATAGCTTTTACTCATGTGACTTCTCTACATCATCATGAAGTTATTGCCATTATAGCATTTGAAAATCAAATTTTGTAGGGCACAGAGTAAAAGGGGTGTTCCCAACGGCTTTCTACTTTTAAATATTTTCTACAAACATTTTTGGATGGAAAAAATATTAAATTAATTTTTTTTAATATTTTTTAATAGTTTTAATAATCTAATATTAAAATAAAAAATAATTAAAAATAATTATTTTCAAATGTTTTCAAATAAAAAACTAATTTAAAAAGCAGTCTTCTCTCTAAAATATAGAAAGTAGTTTGTGGCTAGAAGGGGAACAAAAAGGGATGATCACAAAAGAATAGGAATCACCGTACTTAACACTCTTTCGAAATCAGAAATGCGCTGCTGCAACTCCGCAGTAAGCACCTAAGCAGAGATCCAAAATATGTTTTCGCTAAACTTATTTTATATTAGCTGGAAACCATATATAGTTTTGGACATAATACTGGGAAATTACAGCAGCTGTTTGATCCAATCACTGGAAGTTCATCTTCGGCTCATAGAGGTGGGTGCCACTTGCCAAGGCTCTGTCAAGAACACTACGCTAAGGAGCCCATATCCTGCAATTCAATGAATGGAAAACGAACCTCTTTGTTTGCAACAGATTTTTGGCACATAACCTCCCTCCTAAGGGTTAAAAGATCCTTTTAACATAGACGATACATTGTAGTTTGTAAGATCTAAGCAGATCATAAAAACAATTTTCAGAAGGTGAACATCTCACACAATCCACCAGGTAGGCGGCTGATCAATGTGTTAAGACCACTGGCCCAGGGTTGCTGAAGCGTCCAGCATTATAAAGACTTAACTGTGATGCAAGTGAATCTAAATAACAAAAAAGGCAATTCATCTACTGAATGTATGACGATGATGCTTACAGGTCAACAGGTGAAGCATGGTGAATGGAGATTAACCACTGACCATCAATCTTCTCAAAAACATTTGTGACAAATTGTGCCCCCCAACTGCTGCCTTTTGTTCTCACAAATTCTACACATGTAACATAACCTAAATCTCCCCTGAAATGCACTCTAATATTTTTCAACTCAATATCTAGTGGGAAATCATAGTTCATCCATACAAGCTCCCAGCTTTCCATGACATCATCATAACCTAGAACCCCACTAGCACCTGGGTGCACGCAACATACATTATCTGATTTTTCCCAAAGGGATTGCATGGCAGCCAGATCCCCCTTCCTGAAAGCATTATAAAACCGAGCATTTGCTGCCAGTACCGAAGCCTTGCTATCTTTCTGGAGTACTTTAAGGCCGTCCCTGATTTTTGCAGCTTGGGCATAGTTCTCTTCTTCAATGGCAACCTGAAGCTCACGCATTAAGGTCTGCTCATCCAATACAATGCTTTCACCACTTAACACTTCTTCTGAATCCTCACTTCTTACTTGACATGCTCTGAATGAAAATAAGCGGAAAGGCTGTGCATAGGACTCTGTGCTATACAAATATACAGTTAGAGACCTGCTTCAACCTAGCACTAATTTAGACAGTAGGAATGCAGACAACTGACACCAAAAATAAATTTGAAATGCAGGCCCACAATAAAAACTGCTCAACCATGGGCACCTCAGCAATTTCCGATTTGAGGAGTAACTCATAGACTGTTTGACTAACCTGCCAGCCTTGATTGTTTTTTTCATAGTGAGTAAAAATCTACTAATGATGGCGCACCGGAGAGGGGGGGGATATCACCCATTTACAAGAACGAGAGGAAAAATAAACAAAAATGATATCATCAATCTCTGATGAACGTATAGACATTCACAATTTTGAGTATCCATATGGAAGTAACATAAACATCTTCGATCAGATGTTTTCATCACAAAACTTGGCACTTGAGAGACTTACTGGCTTCTATATGCATAGTAGTTCACTGGCCCGAGAACAAGGCAAAAAAAAAAAAGTAGAGAAACTTACGGGTTCCTCCTTCAATGTGCAACTTTTTATGACAATGGAGTCTTCCAGCCAAAAATGTAGTTTTCTTCAAGGAAGGTGAAGAGATATTGTGGGTTCTCTTGAAACTGTCAGTCCATGAACATTGCAGTCTCTTGAAGTCTCCCGTAGCAATGAAATTTACCTACAACAACATGCAAGCTAATGAGAATTAGAGCAATCTTATATAACCCTAAATTTCAAGTTCGAAAATCTTTTGGTGATAACATCTAAGAAGAAATTCAATTTCAAGGTGGTAATGGTAATGGATTGATCAACAAGCAGAATCAAATAAGAAGAAGAAAAAAAATTGATGGAGCTAATGAGACTTAGAACTCACTTTGTAGCAAAAGGTAGATCCATGTAGAGCCATCGGACAAAACCTAATCAGTAGCCAGAGTTAAAGAGTTAGGTCACGGTCTTGAAACTTCCGGTAGATCAAATGGAAACAGAGGATAAGGTTGTCTTTCCTCTGTTAAGGACATTTTGAGAAAGATGTTAGATGAAGGCTCATCTTTCAAACGGGCTTGGCCTTGAAAATCACAGAAATGGGCTGCTCTGTTTTTATATTTTTATTTGTGCTAAAAAGGCTAGCAAAACAAATCATCATGGGCTGTGGATTTTTGAAATAATTTATTTATTTATTTATTTATTTATTTTGTTTGTTCAAGTTAATATATATTAGTGGCCACCTAGTCTTGGTGCTCGTCTTCGTTGCATATCAAAATTTAATTTTAATGGAAAAAAAAATATGAACATTGTTAAGCTATCAAAAAAACATAGTAATTTTTTTGAAAATCTTACATGCACTTGTTAAATAAAATTAATTATAATTATATGAGCAAATAAATACTATAAGGAGTCATTAAAGATAATCAAAGACTAACTTAGAAAGTTGAACATAAATAGATGCAAATAAACTAACATGATTTCACACCTCTTAATGTTATTTAATTATTTTAGTTAATTATATATCAATATTTATTTAAAAAAAATAAATTTTCAAATTCAATCAAAACAAAATAATTAAAATATATTCAAGTTAATTTAATATGACATATTTAACCTAGCAGATCCAAATATAGCTTTGTAGTTCCATTCAAAACTAATTTGACTCAAGATATATATTTGCAAATGAATATAATTGTAAAAGATTTTAGATTAAAAAAAACATGAAAAGTTGCATAAAAATAGTATTTGTCAATATTTAAAAAATATCTATTATAATCCAATTAAAAAAAGTAAAAATTCAATTATATTTTATTAAATAATATCTCAAATATATTTTTAATTAATTTAAATGAAATTTAGTTAAAAGACTCGTTTGAATTAAAAATAAAAAAATATATATTTTTTAATTTAAATTTAAATCTAAAAAGGAAGAAATATGAAGGCCAAAAAGAAGTCTGGCATCTAGGTTTAGGTGGACCAATGTGATTTGCCACTTAACAAAAAGGCAAAGTGCTTAGATTTGCAAAGGTAAAATTGTATGGCTGGTTTTTTTTTTTAGATTAATGTGGGTGTCCGGGTCAGTTTGCGCGTACCACGACTAATCCCACGAGGTATGCCTGACTTTTTTTTTTTGGCTTGGATGTCGCCTCTTATTTAAAAAAAAATAAAATTGATATGTCACATACAAATAATAAATAACATGTCATATAAAAAAATAGTTTTTTTTAGCATAGTTGGAAATTAAAGCTAATAATAAATAACATGTCATATAAAAAAAATAGTTTTTTTTAGCATAGTTTGGAAATTAAAGCTAGATTTTTTGGATTCAAAAACTATTTTCATCTAAAAACATTTAATAAACACCCTCATAACCTAAAAAAAAAAACAATTTTTAAACTCAAAAACCATAAATTGGTGAGGGGGGAAGAACCCAAGATCAAGTAGTAAAAAATCTTTGACATACAACATGTACTTTTTCTAGTAAAACAAATAGTTAAGAAAAGTCTCTCATTAAATGGCATTTTGTTTTATGCTGGGATTTGGTCAACTGGCAAAATCCCCCCCCCCCCGGGTTGTGTGATTAAAAAATAAATAAAATATAATTTTGAATTAAAATAAAAATCCAAGAGCAAAAAACTGGAAAAGGCCCTATTTAAGCAGTAAAAAAAACCATTGGTTTTAGATAATATGTCAAATTTGATCCTACATCTTTATTATATTTTCTAGACAACAAGATCAAATTTATTTTTGCAAAATGGAGCATCCAATTATTTTCATGACTCCATCCAGCACTTCTGGAAGCCCATAAAAAGGTAATAAAAACATTTTTTCAGGATAAAATGCAAAATTACACAATGAAAGGATAAATTAAAAAAGAAATTAGTGACCAAAATAGAGAGCTTCGTAAAGGGCTAGATGACACTTTGGATGAGTTCATAGTGTTTTTGGTATGGCTTTTAATTGGTATAAGATATTGTCTTGTGTTATGATGTGGATTTATTATTTTATTTTGTTGTAAAAAAATATAAAAATAATACATATTATTTTTTAAAAAAAAATCTAAGATTATAATCATTAACTCGATATCCAAAAATATTTAAAAGCAATGATAGAAAAGGATCGAACCAAACCTGGTGACCTGCTAAATCCATAACTTGAGACATAATATTAAAATAATTTAATAAAAATAAATAAATAAACAAAGAATACCTATTTGCAAAAACAAAAATTCTTCAAGCATTGTCTCAAATTAAATGTTAGGGGTGTAATTAATAAATTTAATTTAATATAAATCCAAAATAAGGCCAACCATTTTTTTTATCAAAAAAAAGATATCAAAATGATACAAACCTTATAAACCTGAGTTAAACTCTTAAACCCATAATCCATTAAATTTTTGACTCGACTCAACTTAGGAGCTCAACACCTAAAAAATTAAATGTTGGAGAATGATATCAATTAATTTAATTTAATTTAAAAATAAAATTCCTTTAGAAAATCTAAATTTAACAAAGATAAAAAAAAAAAAAGTAATGTGGCATGTGTTATTTTAAAATTGAATAAAAAAATCTCTTAGAAAGTGAATAAAAAATAACATAATGGTAAAGGATGAAAGGATAAAACCTTTTTGTTTTTTTAAAAAAGAAGCCATTAAAACTTACAAACGTGTCAACTTCTAAAACCAGAGACAATATCTTATACATATAAACTGTTAAATTCTAAACTAGGACCCAACTAAGTAGCTAAACACTCATCTAATTAAATATTGAACAATGAAATTAAAAAACAAATCAACCTAGAAAATCTTGCAAGGTAAAAAAAATACAATAATAAAACATATTAGATTTGATGGGGAAAAAAACAAAAGAATGATGAAATTTTCATAAAAAAAAATTACAAAAACCATCTAAATAATAGAAATCAAATCTGATAGTTGAAAATATCTATTCGGGGTGGAATTAAAAAAAATTGATTTAATAAATTATTCCTAATAAAAAAATTGCAATAAAGAGAACAATGATGGAATTGAAAAAAATTCTTAATTCCATAAATTAATTTAAATTTTAAAAATTATAATAAAGAAAATAAGAATGAAATCCTAAGAATAACAAACCTTAGGGCTTAATTTGATTTTTTTTTAAGGCCTACATGAAAATCAAGTAGGAGAAAAAAAAAAAAAAAAATAAAAGCCTACAAACTCCACTTCGACCACCATCAAGCTAGATGAGCTACTTATACGTGGAAGGAATACTGAGATGCTTGACCATTCTGCATCTAGAATAAACCTACATAAAGGAAGGTAAAAAAAATAATAATGCTTAAGTGTCAATAATTTAATGGTAAAAGATAAAACTGAATAAAAAATAAAATTTAAAAAATAAATTAGCCCATATTAACTCGATTAACTTGCGACCCAAGATATGAAACGGGGATAACCCCATAAAAAGAAAAGTTAAATAAATCACAAAGTTTAAAGTTAAGTAAGTAAATGTTAAATAATAAAAAGAAAAAGAAAAAAAAACAAATTCTAAAATAATATCAAATTCAAATTAGGTAAATCATTGAAACTTGTGGATTGAGTTATGAGAATGAGACTACCCTGTAAATAACATAAATTATTATAAAGCAAAATTTTCAATTAAAAAATTAAAAAAAACAACGAGGACTAAATCTTACATAAAAAATAATTGAAAGAAATTAATCAAGAATTAAATTGAAAAAAATAAATGAAAATAACAATAGAAAAAGAGCAATGAAAAAAATGGGGACCAAAATTTGAAAAAAAAAGAATAAAAATCCTAAAGGACAAAATAAAATAAATGCAAATGATAAAAAAATATCAATAAAAATAATAAGGGCTAGATTGGATACAAAAATTAAATTAAATTAAATGCAGAGAGGGATGAAATTTCAAAAAATATATTTTTGAAAGCATTAAAATCAAAATAAATAGAAAAAAATAAAGATCAAATCTAAAATAAATATAAAATGGAGGACACAACTAAAATTTTAAAGGCCTGACAAGAATAGGCCTAAGAGAAAAAAATAAAAAGCACGAGAAAAAAACTTATCGTTGATGAACCGCCGCACGTCTTGCCAAACACATCACTCAACAACCATGCACAACCTTTTGCATCAAATGAGACTGCGATCGGCTTTTTCTGGTCACCACAATTGTCCTCAAGAGCTTCTAGAATAGGGTACAAGATTTTGATATGTGCCACACAAGTGTTAATGTATTTTATATATTTAATAAGATAAATTACAAAAAAAAAAAACTATTGGCATATCATTATTACAAAACTACTATGGCACAAAAACAAAAATACCTTCTAAAGTCATTCTTAAAATTTTAAAATTTAAAGGTTAACTATATAATTTTATTATTAAAAAAATAAAAAAAAAATTTCAAGGTCATTTAACCGAGCAGCCAAGTTATAAGCGTTATTTTAATATATAAATTAATAAAAAAAACTAAAAGACACTTAACAAAAGGTTTTTTTTCAGTTTTAAGAGTAAAAAAAATATTTTTATTGTGCAATTTCAAAGTTGAACAGTAAAATTATCCCTGATTAATCAACAAATAACATTTAAATCTTTTTAAAAAATATTTTTACTTTTCATGTCAAGAAAATTATTAAAAATAATAAAAGATAAAGTAATTATTATAACAACTTGAAATCATAATAAATCTTTTTACACGCTACAGAAAAGGTTGAGCCTTTTCAGTTTTTTTTTTTTTAATTATGAAAACTCCAAAGAATTCTTCTGTTAGAAGAACTTGTTTCTTTGTTTTCGTCACAATGAACAACATCCCACCACCCCTTTCATTGCCATTTCCAACAACCCAATGACCCCAAATGCCTTGTGAGATTGCCTTTGTACAACAGCTGTGAATCTTTAGCTGCAAAATACGTACACCTTGATGCCTTCGCTGAGAATATATATATATATATATATATATAAACAATTGCCAGTTCACATGCCCCTTCTAGATAAGGATTCTTTGCGCTGGACGGATTTTGAGGTCAAGCCAA